ACACACACACACACACACACACACACACACACACACACACACACACAGAGGAGAGACTCTGACTATGACCTTAGATTCCTAAGAGAATGTCCTATTGCAAACGGGAGAAGGCTGTGATAAGGCATTGACCCTGAAGCCTCACAGCATAGGATCAAATCCCCACTGATCTTGTGGCACTGGGTTATTTCTTGTCCTTGTCCACCCCGAGCTGTTCATAGGCTCAGTGAGTCTGCCGGAAGTGCTTGGCATACAATAGGCTCTGGATCTGTATCTGTGGACTAAATGCTTCTCTCCAGAAGAGAACTGTCCCATCCTAGCAGGCGTCTTGCAGCTGTTTCTCGTCTCTGCTGCCTCCTGGCTGAACTCTTCCTAGGACTCCTGAATGGCCCGAGTGGAGCCCCTCCAGCTGGTGAATTATTCCCAAGGCAGGGATAATTGTTAAGCTCCATTGGTGCCCTTTCTCCCTCAGCCTCTCCTCCCTCGACCCCCGGGGGAGAGCTGAGGCCGCAACTCGCAACTCGCAACTCAGGCAGAGGCTGGCAGGGCGTCCTCTTGCTGGGCGGCCTCGTTTGGGCACAGTTAGCCGGATCATCTCCCCTGAGGTCAGCAGGCTACTTCCATTTCCAGGTTAAGAAGACTGAGGCTTGGAGAGAAGAGGCACTTGCTCAGTGTCATCACAGTGCTTCCAGACACAGGGGCTGGGTTTATGGGGTGGTGTGCCGTGCTCAGCCACGCTGCCCATGCCTGGGCATCTGTGAGGACCCTTCTGCTGTTTCTGAATTGGGGATGGAAGGTGGGAGCAGATATCCTTAGAATCTTCTAGCCATCGGCTCAGGATGGACCCCCAATCACTTTGGAAGACAACTTCCTATAATCCCAACTCCATTCCTCTGTGAACTCCAGCAGGGCACACAGACCCTTCCATCATATGGAGAGTCCTACAGACCACGCATGGTCGGGGCCAAGAAAAGCCCTTGTAAACCTTATCCTGTGTACTACCCATCTCCATTTTACAGCTAAGGAAACTGAGGCTGGGGAGGAAGGGTTTTTCCAGAGCTGGGGGCGACTGATGTGTCCTCAGGGTACTTAAGGGCTTGGTGTAGGAGCACAGGACTCCTAGGTACTGAAGGGGCTGTGTGGTGGCCAGGAGTGTGCCAGCATGTACTGTCCCTGTGTGTCACATGATACCGTCTCAGGGCAGAAGCAACTTATTCACCACCTCCAGTGTGTTTTTTCCCTGAGCACCTCCCCTGAACTGTTCACCCTTCTGGAAGCTTTGGTCAACAGGGCTGGGGTAAAGGAACCTATTTTTACACCGCACAAGAGACAAAGGAGAGGTAACGTGCCCAAGGTCACACCACGCACGGCACGAGACATTAGTGCCCGGCAGTTGGGGGACTGACCATGGACAGAGCCCACACGCTGTCTCCGCTCTCTAGCTGGATTGAGAGCACAGTTCTCCAGACCTGAGCCCGGTAGCCTGACATCTGCTGCGGGGGCCAGAGTCACCAATGGAAGGTGGTGGCGGGCCAGCCTCAGCCGGGTGCCATCTCTCCAGGGCTAGTCTGAAACCCGGTCCCCTCCTTCCCAGGAGCTTCCCATCCTCCAGGAAGGCTACCTTCTCAACCCCCTGGCAAAGAAAAACTATCCCCCTGCTTACAGACGTGTTCTCAGTGATACTGGAGCAGGTGTTTGAACCAAAGTGACACACGCTGACAACAGAATTGGCTCAGAGATAAACGCACATGCTGCTGATGTGAATCCCAATGTTTGGTATATAGTAATAACTAAGACCTTCGTAACATAACCCTGGTATTTTTCGAGGCTGGAGCACAGGATCCCAAGCTCCTGGCCAGCCTGGGAGTATGTTCTAAGTTTCAGGCCAGCTCAGGAACATATACTCTGCATTAAAAAACAAAAACAAAACAAAACAAAAAAACCCAAAACATCAGGTGTGGTAGTACACCCCTTTAATCCCAATATTTGAGAGGCAGAGGCGATAGGATCTCTGTGATTTTGAGGCCAGCCTGGTCTATGAAGTGAGTTTCAGACCAGCTATAGCTAGGTAAAGACCCTGTCTGAAAATAAAATGTAATAAACGAAAACCCATACGACGGAACTGCACAACTGTGCGCATCAGAGAGCGCCGCACAGGGTCTATATGCCCATGCGCATATGCAAAATGCCGCGCAGGGCCCCCAGGCAGGAAGCACAGGGTACGTCCACAAGGCCACACTCACAAACATGTCAGGCACATGACCCACATTCACAGACACTATACATACACACATACAGGCAAGCATGAAAAACAAAATCCTGGGGACGGACAAGCACAGACCGTTCAACAAATCCACACAGATGAAGCCTGGACATGAACCTAAGAGGGGGTGGGCAAACAGCCAGCTGTATGCTTGGGTTTGCCACGCCACCCCCGCACTTACATGGACCCTAGGACCGTGCATGTAAACCACACCGCTGTGTGGCCTTTCTAGCTGGGAAGCCTGAAAATTCCACTTCCCCCCAACCCCGAACTCCAGTTTCCCTGAAATGTAGCCATGACTCCCGTCACCACCTCTAGGAACAGGACAGGCCTTTGGTAGTTTGCACATAGGCCCAGGGGCTTGAAGAAGGGGCTATGTTGAGAGGGATTTCCACAGCTACACAGAGGAAGCTCACCATCACGGCCTGCTGCTGTAACATGGTGGGGAAGGCGGTGTGAGATCCCGGGGCCTAAGTAGGGAGGATCTGGGGAACGTTTCTGTTGGAAATCCACCTCTGCAGGCCTCCCTCACCCAGAATGCCTCTTGCTGGGCCCACTTGCTTCACCTGGCAACACCTGTAGGAGCCTATAGGGCCAACCTACAATTTCCCGTATTTCTCCTCCCATCCCAAAGTCCAGTGCCAAAGATCTACTCCATACCTGGGCACATCTGCCCCCACCTACCATTGCCCATGGTCAACACCTGCACATTTTCAAACTCCAGGGTGGTGTAGGCTGGGTCCAGAGCGGCACTGTAGTCAGCCATATCCATGTCGACGAGGGTTTTAGAGAGTCGCATTCTCCCCTACCCACAGCTCAGCCCCCTGTCCTGCCCTGCCCAGGATGCCACCCAAGCCCCTGGGCTGAGCCCCAGCCCCCCGTCCCCGCCCTCTCCCTGCCTCCTCCCAGGTCCCCTCTCTGCCCTCCTCTGTTTCAAACTGTCCTCTGGGAGACTCAGCCTGGCGTCCCGGCCTAGCCTCTGCAGAGGGTGGAGGCACTGTGGGGAGGGGTGGGGGTTAATGGTTAATCACCCCCGTTGCTGGGTAGGCTGGGTGGAGCCGCGGGGATTTGGCTGTTTGTTGGTTTCTGACTGACACCTGGGGTGCTAATTAGAACTGTTGGGCCCCAGCTCATTAATATTCAGTTACCTATCTTCCAAGGCAGGCACCAGACGGGGCTGGCCTCTGTTGGACCCCTTACCTCAGCAGCCCCCAAGCCAATGTCACTCCAAGTTGGCTGTCCCAGCTGACATACTTAGACACTGACAAGTCTACCTCCAAGGAGCCCTAATCCACTTTCCCAAATCATTGACTTCCATCCTCAATGCTGTGGCAGAGATAAAGCTGTCCCAAGGCCCCTGAACTGGAGATTTAAACCCCACACTTGGGTCTTCTGGAGCCTTGCTGAAGAAGATTCTTCTGGTTCCCTTCTGGGTTCTCACCTTCCCTGGGAGCCGCTGGGACCCACCTCCAGGTCCCTTCCCGGCCTCTGATAGCTCCTAGCTGCTCCAGCTGGACCAGCCGCCAGAGATGGTCCCCGGTCACACTGAATGCTTCCACAGTCCCCACCCATCCCAAGACAGGCACAATCGAGCTCTGCAGGCATATGCCCAGGGAATACGTCCTGCTAACTGTAACTCTAGGTAAATGATTCTCCTTCCAAGCGTCGGCTTTCCCTCTCTGTCAGATCCACCATCAGTCTGAAAGGGTAGTTTGGGCATTACATGAGATATAGAAAATAACTGTTAAGGTACGCTGGCCAGGGCCTCACCTCCAGCCCATCATTTTTTTCCTGCTGTGTAGCCAGGGCAGTGCTCAAATTCTTGACACTCCTGCCTCGCCTCCCAAGAGCCAGAATGAACAGGAACGTGCCCCCATGCCCAACTAATTCCTCTTCTCCTTGTGTCCGCTTTCTGCTTCCCTGTTTCTCTCTGTCCACCTCTTCCCTTTGGTGTGGGCTTCATGGATGTACCCCTGTACAGTCACAGGGGAGCTCTATGCTCAAAATATCTCTGCATGGCTCAACACTCATTCCAGCCTTTAACATTTTTTTTTT